TAGACAAAAGCATCTAATGTACTGATCATTCATTTTTATACTGTCCGTGTTATTCCCTCTGAGGGACTTTTTATATTTGTACTCTTGCATTTTATAACCTCTCTCTACTCATATGTTCTTTTATCCAGTATCTCATTATTAAAATGGACCTGCGTGCTGCCGTGTTGCAGACCTCCAGGCCGGTTCTGATTAAGCCTGGAATGAAACAACGGCAGGGCCAGTCAGGAGAGTGATGTTGAGGAAAGCAAAACAAGCTATTCAAGGAAATGACAGACTTTGAATGTTTACTCATCCATGTCGCTATCTCTGCAAAAGTCCTATAATAAAGTGTAGCACAGGGTCCTTGTGCAGCAGCCTCCACAGATTCCAGCATTTGATAAAGAAGCAGGTCGACTGTCTGGACTGGTAAAAGGTCAGATGTCATAGACTCGATTAGTTTGTTTTGGTCCCAGTTTCTGCTTTACTGAAGGGTAAAGTGCTGGTATAGGTAGATATAATGCCGTGGTTGGAGGAAAACTATATTTTTATAGCTTGGTTTTTGAATTCCCACCAAAACTGCTGCCTTATAAAAGAAAAACACCTATAGAAACCCAAGATTTTTACATATGGCATGTGCCTGTGTGTGGCCGTGTGGTCATGCACTTAAGTTAAAGTAGTTAATTATTAGCAAGAAAACATCGTTTAAAGCTGGTCATTTTCTTCATTTTGTATTATTATATACAGTATCTGCATTTTCTGACCATCTCCAACCTGGATTAGTTTATTCATCTGTGCCCATAGACCTCCATTGTTTGCTCAAAATCAGTTAAAAACACACCACTGAATGACATTTCTTCATTACAAAACACCAGACATGCATACTAGATAAAAATGTTGCCCTGAAACCTTCAAAACAGACAGAAGTTTTTACAGCATCTGAAGTTAGCAAGAGTCAACTGTGCATGTGCGAGGTCTCTGTAAAAGCATGACCTGCTAAAGCTATCAAAGAAAACCTTGCATTTAGGTTAACTTTAATTGTTAGGCTCAGTTACCTGTCCAGCAGAAAACGGGCAACTTCAGAGGCATTTTGGAAACATCTGTCCCTCATCAGGGATTTTCATTTGGGGAAGGCCACACCAATATTTGTCTTCATCTGGTGCTGTTTCCCCAACCCTCTTTCTTTGTGTCTGTGCCTCTTTGACGACGGAGAGTCACACTGTCTTCCTTTTTCTTGTGTTGAACTATCACTATGATCCTCCATTTCTTCAAGTTATTGTTCGGGATCAGTCAACTCTGTTCAGTGAAGGAAGCTTTTTCTGTGCAATTACATCCATCCATTTATCTATACCGCTTGCTTGCAGTCTTTTCTTCCATATTAGCATTTTTTGTTTCAAAATCTGAGTAAACCAGGATTGGAATAGAGAGCAGAAAGACTTCTCTTCGCCGCCGTAGTGGTACAACGCTGGCTGATAAGGAATGCGGCCGCCAAAGTCCCTGATAACTGGCGGCCCATGTGTGCTGCCATAATGAGACAGATTTGGACAGATTAAGCACCAAGTGGCGATGAACCGCGGCAGCCAAGATGTCACTCTTCACCAGCAGGAGGAAATTCCAGCCTTGAGCCGCATATCTCACCTGCCAGCACCACCCTTCGGTTTTCTGGCAGCGTGCACTGTGTCGAGATTTAGGAAAGCTTAGAGACTTCTCCAAATAAAGAAATGTTTGGTTAACAGTCAGGCTTATTAATGTACTGTGTGTCATCAAACTGGGCTCAAAAAAACAATATTTTGGAGACAAATATGAATTTTGAAATAATGACAATTAGGCAACTCATTAGCAAAGTGTTGAGGTTGTGGCGTGGAATCAGAATGGCTCTCTGTGGCCTGCTTTCTGTCTTCCTTCCTCACACACTTTCTTTGCTTCCTGTGTGATTTTGGCCCCTACTGTGAGCCCAGATGCCCCACACTCCAGGATCAGATAAGCCTTTACTTTGTATTTTTGCATTTTGCCCAGGATTTCCTGGTGACAGTGGTCGCTCTCTGACTTGGCCTGGTGGCCACGTGTTCACTCTGAACCCTGGAGGTCAAAGCCCTTGTCCCCAGACACTCCAACCTTTCAGTATAACGAATGTCTGAACATCCTATTTCATAATTATTTGTGTTGTTGCGTTGTTTTCTTTAAAAGCCCACCGTGCCATTTGACTTGACATTTGACTGTAGCTGCACTTTTCGCCTCTAGGTTTGGCATTTTCCAAGTCCTGAGAATCCTCCCAGTGAGACACAGTCCCTTGACAAATAAACAGCAGATGCTCAAATGTCTTCTTTGACTCATTCTTAATCTCCAGTATTTCATATACTTCTACAGTGTTACAGTGTGCTCGGTGTGTAGAGTTGATTTTGTTTTCAAAGCAGGGTGTGATGTAATAAGTCAGTGATCCTGTGGAGCTCAGTAGGAGGAGTAGGAACTGCGGTTGCACTGCTTTGTTGAGGGCTGCATCATTGAGATACAGACACTCACACTGAATGAATTTATGTCTTTCGTTATGTAGAAACACACCAGTTTTAGCCAAACTCCTTAAGCAGCAAAAGAAAAGTCCACTTCATGTTGCATATTTGATACAATTATCTGCTATTCTTCTCTTAAGAATAGATATTTTCATGAAAACTTGAATCTTAGGGGGGTATTTACTAAGGGTTTGTGGCTAAGCTTAAAATATGAGCTAAATTTAATTATTGCAGTGCCACAGTATTTTCCGGGCCCGCAGGCAGTTTTCAAGAGCTTCAGTAAATATCGCCCCTAGAATCTTCAGTGATCAGTCAGCAGTGAGCGAGCACTCCCTTTAAAGAAAGATGGACCCACTACCCGAGATATTTTCTTCATTTCTCTGATTTGGTTTTGCATTAAACGTTTTTGACTACTCACACCTGTAAACAGGAATATTTTTCTGGTTGTTATAATGTGATATTAAGCACGAGAATGAATATATTTGTAGGTTGCAGGTCTTGTGTAGTACACCAGGGACTGTTTCTACAGTTGGTACACCACATTACATTTCTGATTTTCCAAAACATAGTGGGTTTGTAATGACTTCTTGATTCCATTGGGAGCCTAAAACATGCTAATTTTTATTGCTGATTTAAATGATAGCGTCCGTTTAGTGTTTGTTTTTCATCATTAACAGAGGTCTGGGCAGGCACGTTCACTGTATTCGAATGTTTCCTAGTTGATATTTAACCTTGCAGTAAATGTAGCTGCATTTCCATTTTGTGAAATCCATCTATCGCGCTTAGACCTCGCCCTCCAAGATGCCTGATACTACATTTTAGTTACTTTTGTTGTTTATCATGAGCTGGATGTTCATGATGGCTCTTAGACTGCAGTCTGTGACTTCTACAAGACGAGACAAACCTACAATAGATCAGATCATCATAGCTTCTAGGGACAAAATGTCCTACTGGATTTATAGAACGACTCTGTTATTTCTTTCACCCTGTGTTATAAGAGTGCAAACCATCTGTGTCCTTTCATGGTTGTCTGCACAGGCCACTAAAGAGCTGAAACAGTACGACAACAAGATCATCGAGTGCAGTTTTGCTGACAACAGCTGGGTGTTCATGAGACAGAGGATGGACAAGAGTTTCCCCAATTCCTACGATACGGCCATGGGTGAGACTTTGTCCTTCTCTGTCCAACGGTTATTTATTGATATCTAACTGTCTTCTTTATCTGTATCTGAGTGAATAATAACCAGTCAGCCTGTGATTAATGGCTCATTTTATCTATATTTTGCATCAGCCTCCTGTCTTGGTTTGATTTCTGTGTTATGTATGTGTGCAGAGGCTGTTTTCCAAACAGGCAGTTAAGTATTTTTAATGAAACAACCGAAACAAACTGACTGTGATTCAGGCTGCTGAATAAGTCTATCACCATATTTGTATTAACGTCCTTCCTCCCGTGTGTGTGTGTGTGTGTGTGTGTTTGTTTTGACTCTCCTCAGCTGTGTGTAAAAGCATCCAAGAGCCCGTCACTAAGCAAATCCTTTTGGAGTATCTGGACCGCTGTGCTCAGGCGCTCCAAGCCCAGAACCGGAAACGCCCACCAGACCCGGACTCTGAGCTCATGCCTCCTCCCCCTCCAAAGAGACCCAACCGGGCCATCCCATAGCCCCAGGGGTGGGCCTCGTGGGGTCCCAGTGTACATCCCTTCACCAGCCACATCGTCAACCTGACAAAACAGGCATTTCATGGCTTTCTTACCCTCAGCACATTTGCTTTATCAGCCTGCCTGTAAGGACAAGAACACTTTGACTGCCTCACTGTCATGACTTTACCTTGTAGACTTATTTGCAGCTTTAATTGCTGGCGTTCTTATTTTTTTACGACGCTTAGTTTTTTCTTATTTATCTTTTTTCTATTTATATTTTTTAAAGTCTGAGCCGATTGTTATTTATCATCGAGATTATTGTTATAGCTTCAAATGACACCTGACGGTGCAGCAGCGCAGGCCGTGTTTGTTTTGTTAACTAGTTAATTTGTATCAAAGAAGTAAACACAATCGAAGCCCATTCTTCTGTCCTAATGTATTTAAATCAAGAGATGCATCCAAAATAGTTTCCAGCATCCGGAATCTTATTTTCAGCAGATTAGCACATGGGTTTTGCCTTTGGATTCAGTCAGGGGTTTTCAAATGTTTTCATCTCAAGAAGCAGATCAAGCAAATCAAGTCTGGATCTCAGTTCTTTGTTTCAAAGGAAGCCCATCTGTGTGTACTTTTAAAGCCACATGGGTGGGCAGAAAGATGACGCCCTCATTACACAGTCTCTACAAACTAACTACAAAGCAGGACAAACAGTGAAGTGACAGATTAATAAACAAGCCTCTTAAAGAATCTTAAGAAGGTGTTTTTGCTCCTTTATGTAGATTCTCCAAGTATCACACCCTCTACTGGCAGGATGAACAGCATTTCTTCCTGAAGATATTCTTGTGTTCGGGTGGATTGATAATGGTGGCGGAGAGCATTGTCCAAAGCCGATTTTGCATATGAACTCAGCAACAAATCAAATCAACATTTTTTTTTTTATATAGCACCTTTAAAACAACCAGGCGTCGACCAAAGTGTTTTACACAGGGCAAATAAAATAGTAAAAGTAAAATAAGTTTAAAGATAAGTTAAAACGTCAACAAAAGCAAGTCCTACACAAACCATGTAGCATAAAGTGCCAGCTCTGTAGAATGTTCCACAATTTAGGAGCAGCCACATCTGGATCTCAGGATTTCTAAAAACAGTCGCGTCCAAATGATGCTGTATGTAGCCTATGACAGCAGTTGTGTTGATGCCATTTTCAGTCAGACAGAAGCTTTTTAAACATGCTTATCATTGCTCTTTTATTTAAATCTCATTGGAAAACCTTGTTGCCAGGGAACATTAGATGTTTTTTTGTTTTTTTATGGCCTTACCCTGTTGCCCACGTTGTGGCCTGTTGCTAGGAGTGTTGCCCATCTGCACTGTTTATCACCCTCTGTAGTGTTTGTAGGAATGCTTTACGCTGCGGATTTCACTTTGCATATAAATCATGTTTTGTTGTTTTTTATGAGGGGAAATCTCTCTAATTCAAGAGTGGATCATGTTAGAAGTGACTCAACATTCAGTGCATATTTCTATTTCTGACTTGACTAAACGTGTGCATTTCAGAACAATTGTGCTGTGGAAGTTTGTTCGAAATCTCTTTTTGTTCTCCCCTTCACTGAAAAGGCTTGGTTTTAAGCCCCAGACTGAGAATTTGTGCTTATTTTAAGATGTGGATGACAGCAGTGGTTAGGGTAGATCAGGAGTTAGGGGATGAATGAATGTAAGTCAGTGGAGTATAACCCAGGAGAGTGTAACAAATCAAGCCTGTGTGTGTGTTTTTAGTTTCTGTCTGCTGGTGCCTGAGGCGACTGTTCTCCTTATAGCAGAGCTAGATGAGCTGTACTCCCAGGGCTCTCTTGCCCTGCACATGAAAGCTGGCTCCTTGTCATCAAAGCCTTGCTCACCTTTTTTTTGTCGTGAGCCCATTGCCGCTCAGACACCATCACTCTCATATCGCAGGTGCACGATCCAGAATCGAAGACACAATTATACCTTTTTTTTTTCTTTCTAAATTCTGTTCACTTAAGTTCATCCTCCATCCTCTCAGCTACTAGCTGCCTGGCCATATATTAATCAAGACCAGATTTAAGAGGGTTTCTTCATCGTTGTCCTTGTAAACGTTGCTAGAACAGAAGCTCAAGCAAACACAAGCAAGTTCATGAAGAGGCAGATCCAGGCACATCAGTAATGTGTTTTTCATGGACGTGCTTGTGGCCCTGAGTGCAGGAGGCACAGAGGGTGGGAGCACTGCCACTGTGCGGATCTGGAAATGCAAACACCCTCTTTGCATGCGTACAGCGGGCACAGTGGAGATTATGAGGCTCGCTCTCTTGGCTCAGGTGTTAGAGGCTGGAAGCTGCCGAGCCCTACGATGAGATTAAATTAGCAGAGAGAACTTGCAGGCATTGCCATCCTAATATTATCTGCATTTTGAATAATGCATTTATGTGGCTCTCTCTCCGATCTGAGATGCTTTCTGCAGAGTTCAAACCAGTGTGTGCACTGACATGCTGTGCCTACATTCAGCAGTTCGTACACACATTTTTTTGACATGTAATAATTCCAGGCATATGCGCTGTATTTGTTTTTATAACAGAACCATTTCTTCTATCGTGCATTTTAAAGGTGGTGGTTTGATTTGTACTTCCTCCTGTAGGCAGTTTCTTTCTAGTGGTGTCATGTAAGGATAATCACCTTTATTTGGCCAAGTATGTTACACACAAGGAATTTGTTTCCGGTACAGAACCGAGGCAGCCATCTGCGGCGCCAACTCACATTTTTTTTTCTCCCAGTGGAAACTGAACACCTCTAAAAAAAAAAAAAAAATTAAAAAAAATTCTCCCCCAGTCAGCCATAACAATATGACCACATGCCTGCTACTGCATACACAGGAGTCAGTGCAGCAGTTGGTCGGCACTTTTATCACTCTGCAGCTCACTGTGCATCTTCTGTGAATCTGTTTGCTTCCATAGTTCTACTGCCAGGAAGAGCATGAATGTGTCAACCATTCAGTGAAAAACTAAAAGGGGTGAAAGCTGTGGTCATGAGGACAAGTTAGAGATAATTTATTAGATAAATTCAACAGCCTCCCCGCTCTAGGTGTGATATCACCACTACAGCAGCTGAATGGTTCTTTTCATAGAGACCAATGTACAGTGTTTCTCATTTTCAACCATTTTAACATAGAGTTAAACAAAATAGAATCTTTTCAAAGGGATAAATGAAATTTACACATTTAATCTACAGTAGATCAGCCTCGTCATCAGTGAGCCTTGGGCGTTCATGACCCTGTGGCTGGTTCACTGTCTGTCCTTCCTTAGACACTGTTGGTTGGTACTAACCAGTGCAGACTGGGAGATGCTCTGACCCAGTCGTCAAACATCACAGTCTGGCCCTGGTCAAAGTCACTCAGATTGTTTCGCTTTCCTGTTTTTCCTGCTTCCAACACATCAACTTCGAGAACTGAAGGAGATAGTCAGTTATTCACTTCATCTGTCAGTGGTCATAATGTTGTGGCTGATTGGTGTATGTGGTTCATAACGTAACTATAGTTTCTCCTTTTTCATCGATTAACCTGAAAGCCATATATTTAGACTGTTTAGAGGCTTATTGTCTCAAGTAGAAGTTAATGAAAAGTAACTATTAGTGATAATTTACACTGCAACAATCTGAAAAACGGGTGCCCCAGGCTATCTCAGTCACGACTGTAGTCTACATGGCATTGATTTCAATAATAAGCTTTGCTTTTGATAATGAAGTCAAACAGCTCTGACCTGATTACCCCACTGAAATCAGACATTTAATTGCATACATTTTTCAGCTGCCGGAGTAGACGAGGCAGGGCGCCACAAATCTATTATTTCAGATTCTCCTCATAATGTCTGCTCAGGCATGATGCCACACGGCAACAAATGACTCCCATTTGGGGCGAATGGCGATGAAGCTGCAGCGCTGTTGCTTTGTCTCCATCAGAAGCAACAATCGGGAGGTTGTTTGTGACAGTAGACGGCAGTTCTACTGGCATCATTTGTAACAGGAGTAACACAGTGAGGCTGCTGTCGTCATATTAAAACACTTTGACGTGTTTTTTTAATAAACAGAACACTACAGTTTATTAGAAACTGTCTTTTGTTGTGGTAGGTTTGCCCACCTTTTACTGGTCTTAACTAGCCAATCCAAATTTTTTCCAAACATAGGTCAGTCCTGCTAAATTGTTTAATGCATCCACGACTATTAAGGGAACTTTACCTAAGAATGAACTAAAATGCCAAAAATTGGATCTATCACTTACTCAGCACCTGCTCTAGGCCCCTGGATGCAGAGTGGCAGGATAATAAGCGGCAACATTTGCCTGCGTTTTCCCTGAAAAGGTCAGGCCATTTTTTTTAAATTGAATTTTCCTTTCTCTCTTTTCTCCAGAGACTGTAACACACAGCACTCCTTTCAGCACAACAGCATTTGCTGTAATCAACATCAGATCACTTTACCAATAAGTTTTCTGCACTTTCACCAAGTTTGTGTAAAGTCAGTGATTTATTTTTTTTTCCTCCCTGCAGGCTACCGAGGAGTAAAAACCCCAGAAAAATAACGAATGAGATGCGATACGTGCTGCTTCTCCGCTCCATTAACTTTGTGAGAGAGTTAGTGCTGGAGGGCAGTAGGTGGAGGGACACTTACACCTTGGAGGCCTAATTTTCTTTATGTTTTGTGACTGACATTTTGCCAAGTGTTTCAGAGTCATTAGGAGCGCCTGCAACTTGGACTAACGCCTTTAAAGTTCATGCTTAAAACACAAGTGGGCTATATTTTAGATGCATTTGACAACACTTTTCAAAGTTACAGAAAGTCTTTGAACAGTCCAGTAATGCTACAGCCTGACCTCTGAACCGAAGCTTGAAAATAGATTGTGCTATTATCTTTATTTGTACGATTCAGACAACAGACGCCACAGAGTACATCCCAGAGAGAGACCAGGGAGGCAGTGTGATGCAGCCAGTTGAGAATAGGTATAAACAGTTTTGCCTTGAGACTAGATTGTTTAAAACCCTGTATCATAACTGTGGGCTTCAGCAGTTTTGTAACGTGGCCTATACCTGTGACTAAAAGTCACGATACCTCTACCTTAACCAATTATGACTATTCTTCTTAGACTGTAAGCGTCTGGGACATGCAGTACTAAAGCACTGAAGTGCTCTTGTAACATCACAAGGTGTCATTTTTCTAGTTTTGGTGCACACTTCACAG